TTTTTTTTTTTTTTTTTTGGTTTTTCGAGACAGGGTTTCTCTGTGTAGCTTTGTGCCTCTCCTAGATCTCGCTCTGTAGACCAGGCCGGCCTCGAACTCACAGAGATCCACCTGGCTCTGACTCCTGAGTGCTGAGATTAAAGGCGTGCACCACCACCGCCCAATTATCTTGCAATTCTATACAATTCACTTTCAGTGTCATCTCTACAACCTAGAAGGAACAGGCAGCATGTACATGCATGCAGATGCAAGCTAAAACTCATTCTACATGCATGCCCTGGAAATAAGGTTTAACTTCACACGACGTTTCACAACCCTGTTCACAGTGGCTCCCTCAGTTCCTCATCTTTGGGCCACACCCACCATTTGTGCACCAAAGCAAATACCACCTACCTCAGCAAGAGGTCATAAAGCACAGAGCAGTCAGTCAGGGAGGGAAAAGCCTATAGCGCCCATCTGAACATCAACATTGTGGAATGAGAAGTGTTGAGCATGCGCAGAAGGACACTTTGATGTCACCCTTTCCTGAGGCGTTCTCTTGACACCTCATCAGTAGTAGGGATGACCTAACAATAGGTCTCCAGGGCGGTCATTCCTGGGGCCCCATTTCTCTCTGTGGCTTCGGCCCACTACTAGTCATGGCCGGCAAGCTCTATTGGCGATATATATACATTGTGAGAAATGAGAATGGTGAGGAGATAGCTGAGGTCCCCACCTTAGAGGCTGCCTTGGAGATGGTGGGTGGCAACTCTAGTGGAGGTGACGCCTGCTGCGTAATGGCACTAAATAACGGGGGCCACCAGGTCCGTGAGGGCCAAAACAACTCTGAGGAGAGCAGTAGAGACCCGAACTCCTCTTCCTCAGAACCTCACCAAGAGGAGCCAAGGCCCTCAGCCGAGCATGTGATTCGGGTTCCGAGGCGCCGTTCCTCACGAAGGCGACGGCGAACCACATTCCAGTTCACACTGGGGCAGGTTGAGGAAATGGAAAAGATATTCAAAGAAACCAAGTACCCAGATGCGCTGGCCAGGTATGTGTCTGGCACCAGGAGCTATCCCCAACCTCCCTGTTGTCTCAGGTTGAGATGTCCTTTTGTTCTTCCAGGCCCTGGTTTCCTATCATCCCTCCCTAAGCCACTGCTGTCTTCTCCCTCGGTGGTGGGTACAGGAGGGTGCCTTGTATAGGGGTAAAAGTCAGTATTAGTGTATAGTGTTGACCTGAAACAAGTGTACATAGTCAACACCACACGTTTCCTGTCATATTTTAATTTCTGTAAAATATAGAAACATGAGTATAGTGTGCCAAAATATTCACTAGTGTAAAGTTCACCAGTGTTAAGGATTTACACTTTGTTGGGTAACCTCCTCACCAGTAGTCTCGTCATCTTTTCAGGGACTGTGTCCCTATCCATCAACTCCTTTCAGTTTCCCTTTCCCTTCCTCTGGTGCTGTTTTTTTAATTTAGTGTAATTTGCTCAGCGTGCACTTTGGCATTTATTTTGAATTTTTAATAGTGTGTTAAAATTATTCATTTCTATTGTTTAGAAACTTTTGTAAGAGGTGAAACCATTTTAAAAGCAAGACTAGTTCTGTGAATGAAAGTTAAATGGGGGTGTGAGGGAGGATAGCAATATTAAAAAAGCATAGAAATCATTTATGACTTTGCATTTCATGTAAAACACTGCATGCTAAACAATTGTGGGTTTTTTTCTACAGGAAAGAACTTGCAAATGCTTTGAATGTTACTGAAGTCAAAGTGAAGGTCAGTAAATCCAAGCAAAGACATTGAACAGTCAATCTATAGCCTTCCTCAGGTCTTGGGAAGCCTTGTCCTAGGCACTTTTTTTTTTCAATTCAAGATGATTTTTTCATTTTACATACCATCCACAGTCCCCCCTCCCTCCCCATTTCCTGCTCTCATCCCCACCCACCCCCCACTCCCACATCCACTCCTCATATGGGGTAAGGCCTCCATTGTGAGTCAACAAAGCTTGGTACATACATTCAGTTGGGGCAGGACCAAGCCCTCCCTCCTTCATCAAGGCTGACCAAGGCATCCCACCATAGGGAATGGGCTCTAAAAAGCCAGTTCATGTATCTGGGATAAGTCCTGGTCCCACTGTCAAGGGACCCCACAAACAGACCAAGCCACACAGCTGTCACCCACATTCAGAGGGCCTAGTTTGGTCCATGAGCTCCCACTAATTCGAGTCAACTGTCTCTGTGGTTTTGCCCATCGTGGTCTTGATGCCCCTTGCCCATATAATCCCTCCTCCCTCTTTTCAACTGAACTCTAGGAACTTGGCCAAGTGTGTTGCTTGATTTTTTCTCGCCTCGCCCACAGTCTGGACAAATCTCTGTC